ATAGATAGATAGATAGATAGATAGATAGATAGATAGATAGATAGATACATGATAAATAAAGCTAGTATATTTTTATTGATCACTGACTGTGAGTCACCGATGCAATCTTTGCTCCTGACCTGACCCCTCATATGGATACTGTGTCATCAACATGATCACTACCCCCCTTTTATCATGAAGAATGTAAACTTCAGAGACTAATATGCCAGAAGCTAAACCTGATGTGGCTGAAACCGAAGAGGCCCTTTCCAAGAGTGTTGGTAAGTTCTTAGACAGCAGCATTTTTCTCCATAGACTTACTATTTGATCAGTTTTACATGACTCTGAACCCAGAAGCCCTGGGCCTCTAGAACCCTAAGAAAGAAATCATGTATACAATCTCCCATGAACACCTTAGTGCTTAAGCGAAGGGAGTATATTCTGCACCCACCTTCTCGTTCTTGTCGCTCTTCTTGAACTAAAGACACTGAGGTCTGCAGGACAGACAAGGGAAATGTTACGTTAAAAGGTTTCCTTACCTTGTTAAATCAGTGTTCTTGCCCTGACCCAAATCTCCAAGCTTAAAGCCGCCCGCCGGCAGCATCCCAGCCATTTCACCATTTCTGAATCTCTGTGCTTTGGGCCAGTGTGTGCTTCCCCTCTCAGCTCTGGGGACACAATAATCATTCTGTTCACTCATGTCCAAGAGCACTGAGGTTTTCAAACCAGAATCAAAATGAAGCCCAAATGTTAGTTCCATCTAAAACTTCCATTACCTGTCCAAATGATTTGCCAGAGTCAGATGTTAACTACAGAAGCTTGAGTTTTACCATTACCTGGGTTTTCAAAGCTGTTAGATGTAGCTTCCATGTCTCCCCTTGCTTCCCAGAACTCAGTGAGAAAGTCTGGGGGACCCAGCAGAGTCCTAGCATGGGCAGCTTTGGGCTGGCTGACCTCTTGGTTTTCCAATTCACTGAACACGAAGGGAGTCGCTCAGAAGCTGTTTTCAGTCTAGACAGGATGTGAGGATAATAGCAGAAATAAAAGTTCATGCATTCACGCCAGGAACAAATTAAGTGGGTACACGGCACAGATGATATAAGTCATGGTGCTATTGACGCTGAGTGTCCTTCAGGCCCGCCCGTTTCAAGGCATAGTGCCCAGATTAATTGGCTTGCCCAGAATGATGTTGCGATTAGCAGAAAGCGTTCAGAAAATAACGGGCAGTGTACATTTAGACTGTTACATTTTTTTTCTTCTCTTGTGATTAAAAGTGAGGTATTTCATGATATAGATCAAAAGAGTGGGTGGTATTTGATATGACCAGTTTTTGAGATGTGCTGATGGTTTCCATTCATAGATTATATATGACTTTGAGTGACAGCTGGCTCCTTTTGATGAGAGGATGCAGTTAGCATATGTGATGGAGGATCTCACTGCCCACATGGCAGGAGCGACAGAATCATGAGAACAGATCTGAATCTAAAGTTGGTGTGGACGTGAACGATCAAATGAGGCTGTTTCTGCAGCAACGTTGATGAAACCAAAGAACCTGGACATGAGAGTGCTTTTACGTGCTGCTGTGTGCGCCTCCAGGGATAAGGTTTTGATCAGTGAGTTCCAAGACAGTCAGAAAGGGAAGGAGTCAGGGGAAATAGCCAATGGCTCAAAAATAGGGCCTCTTGGGTGGAAACCTAGAGATAAGCAGTAGAGAAGATGGACTCTGTGTCCAAGAATATAGGAGGGAATTCTTCGTGTGACTGTCCAGAGGCAAAAGGGTTGTCTTGGATGCAGACATGCAATTCCAGTGGCATCTACCAACCAGGCAATGGAAATGCTCAGTCCAGTAAAGAGTTCTTGGTCACACGTGATACCATGTGAATCATCACACCTGAAAAACCAAGAGAGTGAAATTTCATGGGTGGATCAGAAGAGGCTATTTCTAATATTTGTTATTATTGCAGAGCTTTGAGGCCATGCTGAGAAGGCTTATGAGGCTGAGGACTCACTGGTTTAGGCTCGCTGTTGTTGAATGGGTTCAGTTCCCATTTGTGAGCTATTTGCTGTGGCCATGCTGCCCTTCTGCAAATGCTGCACTCTGTAAATCTTCTCCAGCATGCTCCATCACTTAAGAGGAGTAAAAGGGCACACTTTCTATGGCTTTGGAGAGAAACTTTCCCTTACCCCTCAGGAACTCAGGAACTCAGTCATCTGAGTTTTAGGAAGTGTTTACACAGGGAGTCAGGGCATCTCATTCAGACTCAAGTTCTGAGAGTTACTGCCTGTGCCACCCACTGGGAGCCTTGTGGTCTAAAACACCCAAATCTGAGTTTCTGCCATATTCATTTACTGAGCTAGCCTGCCTGCCTTTGTTCCCTTCTCTCCCTTTCTTCCCTCCCCCCCCCCTTCTCCTCTTTCTTCTGTGTCTGCCTCCATGAATACTTGATTCTGAAAGTGGTAAAGTAGCAGCCCTGTGCTAGAAGGTAACATCAAATAGCATTACAAAATATTAAGGTGGACACAGTGGCATGCACCTGCCCACCCAGGAGGATGAGGAGCTCAAGGGCTCCTCATCTACATAGTGAATTTGAGATCGTCCTGGGCTACAAGACATCCCAAAGTAAACTTTAAAATAGAACTCAACATATTTAACAACTAAGGGAGTGCTTACACACAGTAACTGCTCATCAACTGTTAGTTGCTAACAGTTACAGTGTTTGTTATTACGTAAGCATAGAAACAGCACAGACAACTTTTCAAAGGTAACTTAATTCAGCTTCCCACAATCTTAATATGGCAATAGTTTTCGGGGTCTTTTGTTTTGTTACTCATACAGCATTCTGCCTGCATGTGTGCCTGTGCACCAGAAGAGGGCACCAGATCTCACTATAGATGGTTACGAGCCACCATGTGGTTGCTGGGAATTGAACTCAGGAACTTTGGATGAACAGCCAGTGCTCTTAACCTCTGAGCCATCTCTCCAGACTCCCGCAAGTTTCTGTTTTATAGTTACTTATTTATTCGAAAACTTCTGCTCTCCTACTACACTTACAAACACTGGTATAGGATATTTGTGAGCTCGCCTCACCTGCGTGCTCGTGACATGCACTCTTCATTTTTGAGGAATGTTTCTCTGCGGAGGCTGAAGTCTTGAGATCTTAACATGTTTCCGATTTTGTTCCAGTAACTTACAAAGATAAATGATCACAACTCTAAATGCTGCTAGGTCAACGACGCCGTCATCAAGTTCTCCCTGACCACCGAGTCAGCCATGAAGGAAGTAGAGGGCAACAACACACTTGTGTTCATTGTGGATGCCAACACCAACAAGCACCAGATCAAACAGGCCATGAAAAAACTCTATGACATTGGTGTGGCCAAGGTGAATACCCTGACAAGGCCTGACAGAGAGAAGAAGGTGTATGTTCAGTTGGCTCCTGATTATGATGCTCTGGATGGTGCCAGCAAGATTGGGATCATCTAAACTGAGTCCAGCCGGCTAATTCTAAATATATACTTTTTCCACCAAAAAAACCAAAATGCTAGGTCAATGAATATGAACCCCAAATACTTTTTCCTACATCCTGCCAAAAGTTTGAATCTTGTAGCAATGAACAATTATGATTTTCCTTATGTCAGTCGCGTTCCATTGGCAGCTTTTTGGAAGATACCGTTTAGTTTATGGATAGGAAATTTTGGAATGCTTCAAGTGTCATCAGCATTGTGTGCATTTCAGGAGTGGGTATGTTGCTCGGTGGTCGAGCCCTTGCCTAGTACATACAGAGTACTTGTAGCACTGGAGAAATGAAAGGGAGGGAGCGGGGAGAGAGGAAGAGAGAGAGAAAGGGTACAATTCTCTGCAGTGGCCGTTCTACCACATGGCCGTTCTACTACATGGGCTATATGTAGCTGCCATTATGTAATAAGGTTTTTTTTTGGTTCCCAGTCCTTCTCAAAGCCTCCTTTTAAGACCAAGTGTGGCACATATCCATAATCTCTTTATTTGGGAGGTAGATGCAGAAAGATTAGTAGCTCAAAGCCATCCTTGACTACATAGTAAGTTCAAGGCCACCAGGGCTACATGAGACCCTGACTCCAAAAAGTAAGAAGAGTTTTCTATTCGGGTCCTCAAGTCCTTTCCTCCATCTAAGCATCAACTGTGGACAACAGAATGCTGGGAATTAAAAGGCCTTGGACATTTTATTTAATGCCCTTCAGTTTGGGGTAAAGGGGCCAAGGGTGTGAAAGGAGGTGAATTCCTCTAGATCGGAGAGCTGACAAGGCAGTCTGAACCGAGATCCTCTAAAAGAAAAAACTCTGCAAGGGAGGCAGCTGTCTGAGTCACCACCCCGTCGCTGTAGAGAGACGCCATGACCATAGCAGCTCTTATAAAGGAAGGCATTTGATTGGGGCTTGCTTACAGTTTCAGAGGTTTAGTCCATGATCATCGTGGATGGAAGCATGGCAACCTGCAGGCAGACATGGTCCTGGCGGGGTAGCTGACAGTTCTACATCTGGAAAGAGAGAGAGAAAAGACTGGGCCTGGCTTGAGCTTCTGAAACCTCTAAGCTCCCCTCCCCCAAGGAACACACTTCCTCCAACAAGGCCACACCTACCCCAACTAGGACATTCTTCCTAATACTGACAGGGCCTATGGGCCAAGTATTCACACACATGAGTCTTGGGGGCCCTTCCTATCCAAACCACCACCATGGCCCATTTAGTATTGTGAAAGAGAGGAAGGAGGGAAGAAAGGAAGGAAAGAGGGAGGAAGGAGGGAGGGAGGGAAGGAGGAAGGGAGAAAAGGAAGGAGGGAAGAAGGGAAAGAAGGAGGGAGGGAGGAAGGAGGGAGGGAAAGAAGGAGGGAGGGAGGAAGGAGGGAGGGAGGGAAAGAAGGAAGGAAGGAGGGAGGGAGGGAGGGAGGGAAGGAAGGGAGAGAGAGAGAGAGAGAGAGAGAGAGAGAGAGCACTGCTGCTGACCTCTAAAACAGATAGGCCTTATGTCTTTCATGTCTCATGCAAATCACCATCACCATCACCTTCATCACTCTCAGGGCCATCATCATCACCATCGCTTCATCATCATCGTCTTCATAGTCACAATCAACATCCCTGAGGTGTTATTTTTATCAGAGCTTCCTCTTAAATCTTAAACCGCCCCCCCCCCACTGCAGTAGTTTGGTTTTCTGTCTAGTTTATAAATGCACTTCAATCTTTAATATTCTTTTTTAAATTTAGTGTGTGTGTGTGTGTGTGTGTGTGTGTGTGTGTGTGTGTGTGTGCGCGCGCGCGCATGCTCATATGTTCTGTGCAGTAGATGTAGAGGTCAGAGGACAACTTTTACTGAAGTTCATTCTCTCCTTGTACCATGTGGGGCCTGGGAATGAAACTCAAGTCATCAGAATTGGTGGGAAGCATTTCTACCCACTGACCAATTTAACCAATTTCAATCTTTAATATTCTTAAACATTTTTCTTTAAAAATCCATCATTATCCTTAATTTAAAGTGGACCTCCTGGGAAACTGGCATGAGGATACAAGGTCAGGCTTAGAAGACTCTATTTTTTATTCTTCGTTTTTATTTTTAAAGCTGGCATGGTGACTCATACCCATAATCCTAGCACTCAAGAGGTTGTATGAGAGGAGGATGAGGAGTTCACATCTGTCCTCAGCTACATAGTGAATTCAAAGGTATCCTGGATTGCATGAAACCCAATTGCAAATGATTAAAAAAAACACAGATTTTAATGTGTCCCCATTTAAAAGCTTCGGTGACTCCATATGGCTTTCATTGCAGTAACTATCAAGATGGCGGCAGGTTCATCTTACACATTGCTAGGCTGTTTTTATTTTAAAATCATCTTTCTCATGCTTGTATGTGTTGTGGATGGAACCCAGGAACCAAGAGCTCCCTGTCCTCTTCCCTCATCCTTCCCTCCCTTCCTCCCTTCCTTCTTCCTTCTCTCCTTCTCTGCCTCTTTCCTGCAGTATCAGGAATGAACTTAGAATCTTGCTCATGCAAGATCTACCACTCTCACACTAGGAGTACCCTCCACACACACACACACCCCACACAAACATCTATTGTGTTTTCTTGATTAGAAAATGAAACATGGAACAAAATCTTACCTTTTCACAGAAACTTCACAGCTGCTCCAGGTTGTCCCGTGGCCCAGACAGTCTTTCTCTTTCTTCCTTGACTTGAGAATGAATTGTGTGGCCTTCAGAGTCTTCCTAAGGATTCCTTTCTCCGAATTCTTCTCCTTCCCCACTAACCTGAGCACGTTGTAGTGGGTTTGATTTCCTACCTCTTTAAGTGGGTTAGATTCTTGAAAACAGGCCTGTGCAATGTGTAACCCAACCATGCCAGCCTTGTCGATAGGTGGTGCATGAGGGAATGAGGGAATGACTGAATGATAGACTAAATAAAGTCTCCATAACTACTACTGGCAGGGGAATAACTGATCAAAGTCATGGAATGTCTTCAGAGTACAGACAAAGGAAAATGAATAACAAATTTGAAAGTGACACATAAAATGGTGTTGTGCTAGGATCGAACCCAGAGCTTTGGGCATTCTGAACACACACACTTTCCACTGGCGCCACACACGGAACCTCTCATGGCACTTTCAGCTCTAGATGATTTTCAAGGCTGGCAGGTGGTACATGTCTTTAGTGACAGTAAAAGGAGGCAGAGGCAGGCATTTAAGCCCAGCCCGGTCTGTGTGGTGAGTTCCAGGCCAGCCAGGACTGCAGTAAGGCTCTGTCTTAGGAGGAGGAAGAAGAGGAAGAGACAGCAGCTAGGTATAGTGGCACATGCCTTTGATCCCAGCACTCTGGAGGTAGAGGCAGGTGGATCTCTTTGAGTTTGAGGCTAGCCTGGTCTACAAAGCAAGTCCAGGACAGCCAAGACTCTGTTACTCAGAGAAGTTCAGTCTTGAAAAGCTAAGAAAGAAAAAGAGAGAAAGAAAGAAAGAAAGAAAGAAAGAAAGAAAGAAAGAAA